CCCCCAGCCCCAGGCGCGTGCGGGAGCCGCCCTCGGGCGCTCCAGGGCCGCGAACCCCCTCCCCCGCCGCAGCCCCGCGGGCTCGAGCACAGAAGAGGCTCCAGGAGGCTCCGGGCGCCGCTGGTCTGAGTCCAGGATGCGATGACGCTCCGCAAGAGCCTTCTTGGAGCGCGGTGACTGGCGACCCAGGGCCCGGCCACGGGAGGGGAAGGATGCTGCACAGGTGTGCGTGGGGACAGAGAGAAGGTGCGGAGGACATGGCTTCGCGTCCAGAGACTTCCGTGGCCAGACGTGGGCACTGTGGAAATGTCGGTGACCACAGATGCGTTCCTTCCCTTGGAGCTTTCCTTCCAGGAGGGAATGGATGGGAGCAGAGGTACCCGCCCCCACCCCATCACCTTCCAAAGGGGTCCCACGCGCAAGAGAGCGCCCCAGCCAGGTGAGCTCCCCTGCTAGGAGGTGGCAGGTAGGTCCCCTGCCAGCTCAGAGGTGCAAGCGGTTGGCAGGAGGGAGAGAGGTGTCACATCGGAGCTGGGCTGGTGCATGGGCACCCGGTCTCAGGCCTCCTGCAACCTGGGACTCTGAGGGTCCCTGCCCAGTGTGGGGTCTCCCCCGGAGAGCTAGGGGCACTGGCTGGTGTGCTGAGCCCCCGGGAGTGAGTTTTGGGATGGGGCTGTCCACGTAGCCCAGGGCCACAGAGGAGAATAAGCCTTGTGTGGACACAATTGAAGAAAAAGCTGAGCTTATTTAATTCTCCACCCGAGCGCGGACATGCGGGTGGCGTCCCGTCTGGGTCCTGGCCTCTGCGGGCTGACCACGTCCCGGGGTCCTGGGCTGGGCCTACTTGGAGGTCAGCTTCTTGGCCTTGCCGGGCAGGGAGATCTCCGACTGCAGCGGGGGCACCTTGACGCCTTTCTGCTTCAGCTGATTATAGTAGTCGTTCCTCTCCGAGATGATCCTCTGGACAAGAGACAGCCGGCGAGGTGGCCTTGAGGCCCATCTGCCCTGGCTCCCGGGAACACCACCCGGCAGCTCGCTGCAGCAGGGGTGAGCTGGGAGGTATTCTTGCTGCAGCAGGGGTGAGCTGGGAGGTATTGACAGTCGACTCTCCGGGGGGACAAAAGCTGGGGTTTGTAGCATTTACCAGCTGCTACCAATGGCTGCTCCCCAGCCACGGGGCAAAGTCACAGACGCAGCTGGGAGGAGGCCCGCGCCTTGGGCTCCTGGGGCCAGCTGACCACGGACGCCTGTGCTCACCCACTGCTAAGGTCCTTTTAGACTCGTGGGGAGTCCCAGACTCCTGCAGACCTTTGAGGTGCTCACTCCTGTCCCTCAAGCTCCTCTGCTCTGTGAGAGGAAGGTGGGCCCGTCCTCTCCCCAGTCCATGGCCGTTTGAAGTCAGGGCCTTCTTTCCCGGCTCCTGTGCCGTGGGAACAGCTGCCCTCGCCCCCGTCTCCCTTCCTGCCTCTCCTGTCCCCTCCCCTTCTTCACTCCCTGCCCCGGCCAGGGCCCCGGGGTTCCTGCCAAGGCTCTGCAGGGTCACCACTGACTAGGCCCCACACTCCACAGAGGAGGGAGCCAGGCCCTAGGGAAACATGGGTGCTGGTCATGGGTGCATGCTGGGGTCAAAGGGCAGCACCACGGGAGGAGTTTGGGTCTTGGGGACAGAAGGAGCTGCTAGAGCACAGGCCCCTATAGAGTAGCATCAGGTCACAACACCTTGGTTGGCATGCCCTCCTGCCACCAGAGGGAAGTGTCTGTGACTCAGAAGTGGAGTAGCCCCAAGAGGTGGTGCGGTAACCCTCTCCTGCTGTCCTGTCCCCTCCCCCACGAGGCCTCTGCTTGGGGACCCTGGTCAGTGGGGATCCCGCAAGGCTGAGGCTGGGGACGGAGGAGTCTGTGCCAGGGCCCGAGCTCAGCAGGTGGCGATTCCAGCTATTCCAGCGGAGTGGAGTCTTCTGGGGAGGGGGCTGAACTGGGCCACGCCTGGACCGGGATCCTGCTGTGAAAGAATCTCCAGGACCCCAGCAGCATTGGGTCCCTCCCCATGGCAATCAGAGGGATTGTGGTGGTGGCTGCTGCTGGTTACTGGACACCCCTGCCCCTTCTGCTGAGAGCAGCCCAGATTCTGTCCTGGCCACACCTGCAGCATTGGGTCCCTCCCCATGGCAATCAGAGGGATTGTGGTGGTGGCTGCTGCTGGTTACTGGACACCCCTGCCCCTTCTGCTGAGAGCAGCCCAGATTCTGTCCTGGCCACACCTTAGGGATGATTCAGTCCCCTCTGTCTGAGCAGAAAGGGCAGTCCTGCGGTCACGGGGCATGGGTGACACAGCCAGGATGAGAACAGGGTTCCCTAAATGCAATCCAGGGTAGGGATGATTCAGTCCCCTCTGTCTGAGCAGAAAGGGCAGTCCTGTGGTCACGGGGCATGGGTGACACAGCCAGGATGAGAACAGGGTTCCCTAAATGCAATCCAGGGCTGCCCCACTGCCCTGTCACCCCAGACCGCAGATGGGTGGGCTGTGGCTGCAGAGCACTGGCATGTACCTGCAGGGCTTCCAGGAGGTCACCGTCAGTGATCTCGGTGGCCGAGGACTTGGTTCCGGTGACGTTAAAGGTGGCCTGGATGATCTTATTTCTTAGTCTCTCAAGCTACGAGCAGAGGGGAGACACGGTCG